TCCCCGGGGGAAAAAAAATCTTCATATATCCTTTTAATGGAAGAAAAAGAAGAAAAGAGAGCTCCTAGATTAAAACAGTCTTAAAATTAGATTTAATATTATTTTATTTTTGTATTTTAATAGCTATTTAGCAGATGAAGAATCTAAAATTAAGACAATACTCTAATAGTCAGTTCGTTAAAAAAATTATTATTGAAAAATCATACATTAAAAACTTTAAATCTAAACTGTTTAAATTAATAAGCATGAAAACTGAAGACAAAGCAGAGCATGTGGTATTAACAATAGAAACTTATCTACTACGGAAGTCAGGGTTTTGAGCTCGTGAGCAACGGGAAAACAGTACAATCCATGGCTCAATAAAATCTGTAAAAACACTGTCGTTCTTCTAATTAACTCAGAATGCGACTTCATTCACCCTTCAAATTGTTGTTACTTTCCCATTCCACGGACATCCTTACCATCCTGAAACTAATAATCTGACGTCCCATATATCCATGCAAAGACTATGAAATCCCATCATATTCATTCTCCAACGGTCAATTCTGACGGACGTCCCAATCCCAAACTTACTGGAACACAAAACAAGGTCTCAAACATCCCAAATGGGTGGTGAATCCCCATGAGGAAGACGGTGTTGAATGTGATTCATAACTAATACTCTCTGCTGATTTATCGCTTCTAAATCCAACCTTTGTTGCTCTGGTTCATCAAAGTTCGTCGAACCCCCAACACCCAAGAAATCATGAACCGTTGCCATATTTGGCCCCATTGGATTCTCTTCTCCTCCATCCCTCCCATGCGTTGTCAAACTCGAACTAGTACTCGTAATGTTCTCTCGTTCCACATTGTTGTTCATCATCAATCTTGGGTTCTGATCACTTGTATGGAAAATCTGGCCCAACATACCCATGCCAGTAACAGCGGGAGGAGCAGCCGCCGCCCTAGTAGCATCAAACAGTTCTGAAATTTCTTGAGGGACTTTTTGAAACAGTTGGTTGGTGAATGCTCCACAACCACTAATCCCAGCCATGTTGGAGTGATCAAGACCAGAAAATGGCGGCTTATTAATGGAAGAGACATTATTATGATCAGGACCAGCCATACTAGTGACGAAGTTCTTGTGCATCATGGGAGAGTTCATGCTGTTGCTTGCGGTAGCACCCATTTGGGCTGCTCTCTGTAACAAAGCCGTTGCAGACATTTGGGCCGACCCAGAGATCATCGGGCCCAAGTTTTTCCTTCAGGGAAGTAACCGAAAGGGGTTGAGGAGGAGGAGGGAGAGATGGGCTTTGGGCCAGCGAAGAGGGATGCGGATGTTGTGGAGAACACGGGCCCACCCATGGTCATGGGCTTGAATGGGCTTGGGCCGAGGTCCTGGGCCGGGGACCTGGGCGGGAAGTTGAAGTCGGAGGAAGTGGTGAGAGGCATGGTGGGCATGAGGTCTGGCACTTGATTTTGCATGCCGCTGCTTAAACCTTGGTTCATTCGGTTGTTTTCTTCAGTTAACGCGTCACAGAAAGCCCTGTGGGTGATGAAGCTATCTCTCCTGCACCATTAATTCAGACGTCAATTTTGCAATTCAAAGAGACGATTCAATAAAAGCGACCGAGTAGATGAAAAATCTAAGTGTTAGGGTTTTGCCTGGAAAAAATGGTGCCACAATCGCATTTGTATTCTCTGGTGCCGCAGGTTTTGAGGTGGGCCTTCCAGTCAGATTGGACGGCATATCTTTTGGAGCACTTATCACACTTCCACTTCTTCTCGCCGTGCTTCCTGCTATAATGCTTCTTGATCCCTGTGAGGTCTCCCAGTGCTCGAGCTGGGTTATGGTGCACGCACGACGGCTCAGGGCACACGTACACCCTCTTCTTCACCTCCGTGCTGGCCCTTTGCCTCAGCTTCCATGGCAGATTGTGTCCTCTTCTGTGCAGCTGTAGGTTCTGGTCCCTCTGGAACCCCTTGTTGCATATCTCGCACACGAATCTATTCGTCGCCATCAGCGTCGTCGGTGATAGCGCAATAATTTCAGCGTTGGGATCTATTGTTGAAACTAATTCAGTTGATGATATGAATAATAACTAATCAAGAATAATAATAACAAAAAACATAAGAATAAAACAAGCAAGTGCCTGGAGTTCCAGGAAGGTTTCTCTCTTCTTAGTTGTGGTGGCTGATCGGAATTATTGGGAGCTGAAGTTGTGTTGCCCAGGTGGTTGTGTTGCTCATGTTGATCCTTCACTATTTCTTGATGAACTTCTACTTCTCCAGTGTCGCCGGAGGAGAAGCTTCCTTCATCGCCTGAGAAGTTTGACATTCTCTCTCTCTCTCCGTGTCTTCTTCTCTTTCCCTTGTCTGGAATTTTTTGTGTGAATCTGTGATTAATCGATCTGATCTCACGCAGAGCAAGACAAAAACTCGCCAGGTTTTGGTTCATCGATCTCTTATCTGATGAGGAGTTGTGCAGGAATTGGAAGCAGGTCATCGCCCTTGGCCTTTTATAATTATATATTAAGGACAAATACACGAGGCTCATGCGCCCTCCCTTCATTGCGTCAATATAATAATATTCCTAATAAATTACTCTCTCTCTATTATCAAATGTAAGGCAGAAGTCTATTATTAATACAAGCAGATCAATAAACATCATTAAAAATAGTTTGTGTCTGAAAAATATTGTTTCCATATTTTGGTGTCTATTATCATTTGTGTATATATACAAACAAATTGCTATTTTAGCTTTAGTTAATTAAATGGTCAAGCGTCTTTTGTTTGTGCAAGTCGGCTTATCATGAATCAATTCGTTTTCAGAAGAAGTACCTTGAGAACATTTTGAATGTAAAAACTATTGATAATATAGAAAATAGGAATATATACTTGTTCAACCGCTTTCGATCCCCCACAATTTGTCTTACACACACACACATCTTAATTGGCAACGATTATTGCATGGAATATTAATTAGAATACCTAGTACTTGAGAGGTTCTTGAATTCTACAAAGGCAACGAAGCGGAGATAACAATTAATTAATGAACAGGAGAAGCCGAATTGGGGGTGTCTCGTTTGGTCCAAGCGATCGAAGAAAACAAAGCGAAGCAATGGGGAATATATATATATATATATATCTCTTAGTATAAAAATATTAATGACATAAAAGATGGATGCTTGTTTCCGAGTTAACCTAGATTCAATCTTTTCATTACCACATTTACTAAGAGCATCCTATGGCCTCCTCAAGATTCCATTGTGTGTGTCCGTGTAATAAGATGCAAAAATGCTTAGGCTACTTTTGAATTCCTTTGGTACGTAAAACAAAGTGGAACAAGATCAAATGAAATAACATGAGATGCAGTTTATGTTAAAAAGAATGTTTTTTTTCCTTTTTTTTTTTTAATTAACCATCCGGCGCATATGTTGTTATTATTATTTTGACCAGAACGACGCATCTATTGTTGAAGATTCAGTGGCTTAGATCGTTGCAGCGGAATAATAACCCGTAATAAATCTCACAAGATGATTTATTATTATTATCATTAATATTGTTATTAAGGAGGTTGTGGGGAGATTGTATACGTTTCTATAAATAATTTTGCTGCAAGTAGCAGTTAGTGCAAATATGAATACTAATCCATGCCTTTACGATATACATATTCACAGTTGATTAAACGGGTTGTCGATAATTATTTTATATAATTATTAATTAATAAAAGCAGACATTATCTCAACTAAATATTGGGGGGGGGGGGAACAAAAAAGGGATCTGTTTTCTTCTGTTATTTGTTCATGTTGATGAGCTTCGTAGCTCCCACGCGCTTAACTAAAACAAGAAGCAAACAAGGAGACAGAGATCAGAATATCAAACACAGGCTACGTTTCAAACGTCGAGTCAAAGAATTTTGAAGGCCTTATCATTGAAAATTCTCTTTTTCTTCATCTGATACTTTTTGATAAACGACGAACAAGAATCCGTCGTAGGAATTATCAATCACGAATATATATAAGTATATATATGTATATAGATCGATATATTTGATGACTGAGCCATGCATGCATACAACAATGCAACGACAAAGCTTGCCTCCCAACGTTGTTATCAATTATCCCACAGATTAATTTCTCCACTGTCTCACGGTAAACCCAAGTTATAATCATCCCTGCAGAATTTTTGGTTACTGATTTCTGATAATTATAAATTGACCTGATTGCTAATTGACATAGACAAAGGAACCGTATAGAAAAAACCAACATAAAGGACAATCGTGGATTATTCTTTCCCCTCCATAATATTTTATTCAATTTCTGACAGTTTGTTTATCCAGGGCAAGATAATGCATAAAACTAATAACAATTGTTGATATGGACGTTTTTCGATTAGGTGAAAAATGGATTTTAAATATTGATTTTTAAAGTGTTCAGTCGCTCATCAAGCCTGCATGGAGCTCCCGGAGCTGAAAAATTGACGACAATTATTCTATTACCTCAAGCATCAAATTAACGTTGAAGAATTGAAATTTTTCATAATAAATACTCCTCCAGTTCTAAATATAAGAATACACACTAGTATAAGATCTTATATTTAGGACCGAAGAGCATAATACAATAAGTGAGTACATTTCAGTTTACCTCACCACAGCTTCGTTGTTCTTGGGTTGGAGATATGGCACTTTTAGAACAGAAACTGTTCTAAAATATTCAAACACGATTTTCTTTTTGTTTAGTTTTTAAAATTCATGGCCTGCAAATGGACCAGGCCTCTTGTTGACCAAGTCGTGAACAATGAGAATGTCTAGCAAGCAACCAATTACCTTAGCACAAGCATTAACGAGAAGGCTTAAAGAAAGAGAGCGTTCATTCTACATACAATCTGTTCCTGTCAACTTATAGACCTTTGCCTGGTTAATATGATGAAGACACTGACAATGAAAACGAGGAACTTGACAAGTTAGGAGTTCCATGGTAGAAAACAAATATCATTTGACTTGGTCAAATATGGGAGTCTAAAGAGGAATCAAATTTTCTTTTTCCCAAAACATGAAGACCTACATTGATCTGTTCAAACCAGAGCTATTTATATCTTTACATAACTGAATGAGTAAACAACATTTATGACGTATAAATCTAACAAATAACTATGATTATTACGAGGTCACCGCCAACAAGGAGAAAATTTATGCTAGTTACAAGTCAATGTAAAATGTTTTTGACTTGCACCTGTATCTGCTAGGCTTCCTAAGTCACATTACTTAAACCGTGAAATAAAAATCTGAGGTGAGATAACCCTGTTCTCGACAAACCATATTTCTGATTCCTATCACTTTGATAGGAAACAAGATTCGGCACCAAGGATCATGTTTAAATCTCATGATCCACTTCTTGGATGATTTATTTTTCTGTCACATTGTGGTAAACTCGAGTATAGGCTGATGAGATAGCTTTGATCTCCTTGCATCATTATGGAAGCATTTCAAAGAATGAAAGTATGAGTAGTTCAAAAATATTTATGAACTCGACGTCCCTCAAGAAGCGGACAGACCAGTCTTCTCAGATATTATAGCGAGCCTCGCTGCTAAGACTGCTGGTGCTATGTGCCTGGAGTTCATTTACTTCCTCTGCCATAACATTACCAGTGCCATTATTACTAGTAATACTAACAGTTGTTTCACCACTTGCACGCAAACATTGTGACTTTGAGCTATTGTATGAGTACTCCACATTCCTTCTCTTCCTCTTTGAGTTAAGAAGGCCGTACTCAAGAGCTTCCAATGCTTTTGTGCTCAATGGCCGGTTTCTTGTACTCTGGCGACGATTGACAATGTTAGGTTGCTGTTCCTTATGAACATCAGGAAGCTTCTCTATCTGATTGAGCTGGGTTTTCTCATATGATGAGGATGATGAACTTGCACATTGAATGTCGTTATTTTGCAGTTCGACCACAAAAGATGGTATTTCGATTTCCATGTCAGTTCCCAACTCAGGTGGAAAATGAGGAAGGTTCAAGTCAATCAACATCCTCGTTTTAGGCTTTTCTGCACATTCTTCTCCTTCCAGGTGCTTCTGAGTAGCAACACCTGCATTGCTCCCACTTGGACTGCCTTTAACTGGAGAACTTGGGGAAGACATATTTTGTAAATCCACAGAAAGAAACAAGCCCTCTGATGCATCACACATATTTGGTGGTGAAGTAGGCTCATTTAAATCCAACTTCCTGCCTGTAGGAGTGCTTTCACTCCAGTGTCTAAGTTCCTCCAGATTCATGGGGCGAGAAGTGCAACTGGATGAAACCTTTTGAATGGAACTGAAGTCATTGTTCTCCTCTGAATGGTCCTGATTATGCAGATCAGAACCACATTTATGATATTCTACAACCAGCTCATCAGCATTTGGTGCTTCAGATATAGGAGTACAATCTTTTGACTCGACACTTGTGCCCTTGTCTGCAAACTCTACTGCAGGACTTGAAGAATTAGTTTGGTCAGATTGACCTTCTGTCTCCTCAGATGTATCTTGCTCAGATTCACAGGAAGAGTGGCTAATGGAAGTGGATATATTTGAAGCTTCAAAAGGCAAACTCCTCAGCTCTCTCACTTTGCGTTGCTCCAAATCATATGCTATGCTGGTATCCACAATAGTGAATTTAATTTGACTGCAGGTTGAATTAAGAGGTTGAAGGTAACGATGCTGCTGCTTATTTAACAAACCAAACGGGTCCTGTTTGTCTCTGTCCTGTCCATTCTCCCCATTGACTCTGCCCTCAGCCCCTTCAATTTCATTCTCAAGAAGCCCTGGGTCAGATGCTACTTTATTCAGTACATCGCTTACAGAATCGAAGTAGTGGTTACCTTTCACCAGTTTCCATCTTGAAAATTTCTTAACACCAGGAGTAAGAAAAACCAGAGATTGTTTTGAACCAGAAGGTATATAATCCTTAGGCTTCTCAGAGCGCCACCCTTTTGCTAAAAGACGAGGCCAAACAGCTTCCCAAAAGAGATCACTTGATCGAGCTTTGCTTAACCTAAAACCTCCTGTCAAAAATTTGATTATGTCTGCAGATGAGAGAGTGGAACAAGCTTTGCCAATTGGAATTTCGCGATGAATAGAGAACACGTGATTGATCTTTGTTGGCTCAACAGCAGTGCCAGTGAGATCGTGCTTCCCTTTGCCAATACCAACAGCATCTATCAACATGCCAACACCAACCGTGTTCTTTAAAGCAAATACATATTCTTGAAAAGGCATCTTTCCCTCCACAAAATTCCTAGAAAGCTGCAATGAATAATGTCAAATCAGAAGATACACAAGTTGAAAGGGCCAGCTTAGCAGCATATGCTAAAACAGCCCAGTGAAAGTTAAGGAAAATTTGACTAAAACACAGACTCTGTGCCCAATACATATATTACATGACCTTTACAATATTGCACTGTATTCCAGGAAAAATCATAGAATGAAACGAATTTTGATGTCATTAAAGCAGCAATGTTTGTGTAGCATATGCCTTATTGGCATTAAAAAATGAAGACAAATAATGCCATCAGTAGTATGTAAACATGCAATCAAGCCTTCCTATTCAGTTCCACACCCTGCGTTTAAGGTTACAGGCTTATAGCAGTATTGAACGAGAAGCCTATCCTGTGCCCATCAAGTTTGAAAAAACAGCATAAGGTTTGTCTAAGACATCAAAATCTTAAAGTAATACCTATGGAAAAAATTTAGAGAGAGATGGAATATATATATACATATGATAAACAATAATTTGCATTTAAGTCTTTGCTAGGAAGACCTAAAGAGAGCCTCCTGAAAATTTCACATTATTAGCCTTCATGGTATGAATAATCGCACATGAGGAAATATGCTATTGGCCTTAAACTAATACTGTTAATCAGCAACTAGAAACGAAGCTCCAATGAAAAGATAGAGGCACAATTCTCATGCAGCATTACAGGAGGAAATAACAATGATAGAAGATGAGGACGGGCATAATCTAGCTGTATTTAAAAGGTAGGAATTACTATAGCATTATTTATTATTCCTTGACCTTTTTTTAAAGCACAACATACTACTGATAGACTTGTCAAGCATCTAGCAAATCTCAAGCCTGCTAATCATTGACACTTAACCCCCAAAGAAACTCATCTAGTATGTCAGCAATAAAGGACCAGAGCCACAAGCATCAAGATGAGGAATTTAAAACATCTTTAAAATTTCAATTCTGCTTGCGTGGTCGTTGCCAATATATTTATATAATCTTTTGATCCTCCAAGAACATTACTTACTCAAGTGCATGTTTATACAATGTATGACATGATTTGCAAAGTATGTCAGACGGATACCTCTACCAATGTATTTTGGCACTCTCTTGACACATGAGAAAATAGTCTTGACAGAAGTTCTTGTTGCCTCCATCCCGTGAATATCTTTTGCCCACATGTACACCGCTTATTTCTCAACTTCCGGCAATCTGACCATCTCCGAAAGCTGTCAGATCTATAAAACTTTCCGTAATAGAAGGATAGTATGTGTCCCGTTTTTTTACTCCCAACAAATCTCTTTACAAAATTAAAATTTTTCCCGAAGACATAGAGGCCCAGGAGAAAACTGTCATATTCAATGGCAGTCCAAGATTCAACTCGGGATTCAGGGATAAGATACGTGTCTTGTGCCCCATCCAACTTAATTTTTAGTTCTAGAAATGAATCAGTACCCATGTCATCACATTTAAAAGAAGACTGAAAGCTTAAGACTCCTGTGACATTTTTCCCCTCGCCGAGAAAATCAGTCTGAGGTTCAACTTTAAATCGATCACAATCATTCTGAGAGCCAACTTTTCCTTCTTCGCTGATGAAAGATTCTAAAGCTTCTCGACATCTTTCAGCTTTAGAATAAGCCCTCATAAGAGGAATGGGTAGTCCCAGTGACTCTGGCCCATTCACCATGACTTCTGAATCTGTAAACTCGTTTATAAGCTGAGAAGAACAAGGTGATGTAACTAATGGAGGAATTTCAGCCTGATATTGATCTCCAACACGAGGAAGCTCTTCGGGGTCTCCAAATTTAGCATCCATATCAGAGGAACCTGATGAAGGGGACCTCTCAAAAGATTTCCCTTGAATGCCTTGTCTACCGTCATTCAAGCAAAGAACATCCATCTGCTAATCATGGACCAAAAGTTGAAAAAGATATATTAAAATGTGCATGAATATCTCATCAAAATATTCCCCATCGGTAATAGTAACAGTAAACAAGATAGTAATAAATGAACAGACCAAGCCAGTAGCATAAGTCAACCCTTGGTGCTACGAACTATAACCGCCAATTTTGCGAATCTCAGAATAAGACTCTTAGCTTTTAAGCATGTACTATGTACTAGAAATTCAATTAATGTTTCAACATAATTGCAGGACATATCATTAAAACATGTTTCCTGCAAGTTGACTCTCGCGGTGCTCGATTGGAAAAATAAACGGAGGAGGGAAAAAGACTAATGACGTTAATCAATGAACAGAACAACTCGAGAAAGAAGGACATTACGAAATTCTAAGTCGCACTCCAGGAAACAGCATTTTCCACTGTAAAAACTTGCTCGAATAGAAATTAGACGCCAATGAAACAAACAATTGAAATTCGAAGAAACCCAACAAGGAAAAAAACTAACTTGTTGAACTCGATACCTGCAAGATTACATGAACCAAACTAGGGGCAACCGGGTAGAGATGAATTAAGCAATCACAGATTCAGAGTGGATTTAACGTGATAATTCACGGTTAATCCCATCGAAACTAACTTCCAAAAAGGAGTAAATAACTGTATATATCCAAAAAGAATCATCAGAAAAACGAAAACCATGCAAGGAACGACTGGAAACAAGACGTGACCTTGAGGGAATAGCTTAAACCTCGAACGTTGAAATCCCACGTGGCGAAATCGACCTAGGGAAACGGGTACCGGTAAGAGCCTCAATTGTCAGCTTGTTTTCCTTCCTTCGCGGTGAATAGGAGAAAAGAATAAAACAGAGAACATGGATTAAAGACAGCAAAACAAGGAAAACAAAACCAGGGGCCAATGAGACGTGTTAAGGTGTTAATAGATTACCTCGTATTACAACAGGAGAGAGGTTAGTTTCATGAAAGCAAAGTTGTACTGTGTAGGACTAGAAGAGAGATGGGGAGAGAGAGACGACCAGGAGGCCAAAAGAAAAAGAGAGTAATCAAAGTATTAAAAGGGAAAATTCTCTCGATGTTGAAACTATAAAGAGAGGATTTTGCGTCTCTGAGAACCAGACTATTTGCGTTCGTTGTTGTGGGCTCACACCACTTGGCGCTTTGAATCACATTGGAGTGTGGCTTCTCGTTTTTCTATATTAAAAAAAAAAAAAATTTGCCATTTTCTCTTAAATTCTTTCTGCCATTTCTACGGAGATTATGGATAAGCATTCAGTTGGTTTGCAGGAACAATGCTGCAGTTTACATTCCATATTATGTGCGCATCTTTGTTCAAACTTATCTTGGAAGAATTTATCTGAATACATTCTTCAAAATTTTATGCTTTAGATTTTGTGAATCAAATCACTTTTATGGATGCTCTGTATTCATCAGTATGCTCAGTCCTTTTTCAAACTTGAATCTACTAAACATCTTAACAACACATAATTATCAACGGAATAAAATTTTATCAAGGAGACATCATAAAAGCTGCCCACTGTACAAATGTCTCCATGTCTAGCATTAACAAAAACACAGAAAATACCATTAGCCTTTATTTTTCCCCAAAAAATTTTAAAATATCGTAAAATAATTAACTATCATCGCTTTATTTGCTCTTTCCAACTTATTCTATTGTCATACCCACTATTTTCTCTCCCTTTTAATTCTGTTGATAAGGAGATCATAAATTAATGAATCTGTTAATAATGTCATAATGAATTAATGACTAAGCAAAGTTAAAATGAGTTGCACACATGAACCTAATAAGTTTATGGTTTCGTGTGGGAGAGGGTATAAGAAAAGGAAAGAGCTTAAAGCCATTGATTGCTTTAAAGAGGAAGGCTATGACATTTGACGACGTGGGAGATAGCCATTTACGTAGAAGTCGCTGTTTTCTATCCAAAAAAACAAAAGAAACCTTAATAATGCTCTGCTTTGCCTTTGATAAAGTTTTTCTTCTTCTCAAGTAACCTGTTTTCTTTCAAATGTACATATTTAATTTCCAACTGTTTCGTCGAGTTTCATTGCTTTTATTGCCCCTTCACAATAATTCGATTTCTAGATGGTGGAAAATACTATTTTCGGTACTTAATATAAGATATTTAATTTAGCTTTAAATATAAGATCTTGATCTATTTTATCTCACATATTTATCTATTTTTTAAATTTATTACTTATAATAGTTGCACGTGTTAAAAACTTTATCAAATAATAGTTTTAATTAATATACATATTTAGTAAGGGTATTTTAGAGAAAATAATACATATTTATTGCACATAATTATTTGTAATACATATTTATTATTTTTAATAAATAAGTATTATTTTTCTAACATATTCTTACTAATTAAGTGTATTAGCCGGAACTACTATTATTATAAAGACTATTTTGAAAAAAAAATAGATAAATATAAGAAATAAAGTGAATTGGAATCTCATATTTAAGACTAAAATAAAAATTAAATTAACTCTTATATTAAGAACTATTTGTTTCGATGAATTCAACTTACTATGAATTATTAAACCAAAAATTAAGTTTGATAAGGTCTTTAGCCCAGTCAATTACAAATATTAGCTTGTGAAGAAAAGATATTGACATCAGATAAGCTTACTATTTCAAGCGACATTATTTATTTATTTGAAAAGACAAGCGACATTAGTTATTTTTTCTCTTTGGGTTCAGCTTGTACGGACAGAAAGAATAAAAAAAATCACAAAACAGAAATTAAACCAGGATGAGATCACCCTGCGGCTATTTAACAAATCTTGTTGCATCTGGTAAACACACAAGGCTGGAGGATTTTGGATCACGTTCACCTCCATAGACGTCTGGTGACCATTCCTTGCTAAGTGATCTGCACACGAGTGCCTCCCTGTGAGAGACATTAGTTATTACGTTCGTAATAATGCAAAGATGCCCACGAAAAGGCTGTTTTTTTTTCCCCCTCACTATCAGAACGTAATAGACGGGATAAGTTTCGCCTTTGGCGTCCGGTGAAATTATTTTTTGTTGAAAAAAGAACATCAATATATTATTAACTATCACCTCCAATTCTTAATATAAGATTTGATTTGGTTTTTATTTTAGTCTTAACTATAAAACCCCAATCCACTTTGTTTCTCATATTTATTTATTTTTTAAGATAATTCTTCTAATAAAAGTAATTCTAGCCAATAAATTTCATTAGCAAAGATATTTTAGGAAAGTCATCACCTATGTATTGCAAACAACTAACTTAACTTATTTTCTTAATTTACTCAAATTAGTTAACTAGCTCTTATATTTAGGACCGAAGATAATAACATTTAAGTTAATTTTGTTTAAATGACAATAATTAGCATAAAAAATATCATTTAAGATTAACACTGTTAAAATCAGAGGAGCAAAGTTTCTAAAATTAAAAAATAAAAATAAAATATTGTATAAAATTAGAGAACCTTAGTTTATATTATTCCTTTCTTTTTTTTGCCAACTAGTCTATATTATTTATTGAATGTGGGTAACATAGATGAACTTTTCTTTTCATGGTTCACGATAGGCCCGATGTTGTTGGGCTACTATTGCACCCGATTATCTTAAGCCCATGAAACAGGCCCAAGAAAACAGTTTTTGTAATTAACTTTCATATGATGACATTTTTGTTGGCTTGCTGCGATGGTAGATCTGAATCTGAACTGGTCTAGATTTTATATATAACTTTTTTGAAAATATTTAGTAATTTTTTTTAAAAAGAAAAACATGTTTTCTATTGATGCAAAAGAAGTTGGCGCCTGTAATACTCAATGCGTTATTAAGATAAAGAAGTTTGCCCAAAACGGCAATTAGGTCACAATCACAACGTGTGAGAATTCAGCCTGGTCTTGCATTCTATTTTCCTGTACAGAAAGCTTATAACAGTTCTAAAGCTCATATTTCATTCCCACTTTGACCATGCGCTTGTGAGGAATATCAAACACCTTCCCACTCTGTCTCACGTTCCTCTTCAAGAAGTTATAAGCATAATCTATCAAAACCCTATCCCACATTCCTGCTCCTTTTCTGGCAATCACCTCGTTTTCTCCAATCAAGTGGACAATCCCTTCCCTAGTTGCCCTCTCTATCGTCTCTATCTCTGCTTCAATACCCTCTTGCATTCGTCTCTGTTCATCAACCATTGGCTCTGTTTCCTCAACTTCGTCGACACAGTCCTCGGTTTCATCACTTGGGATCATTTTCTGAGACATCCAGAACTCTCTAGCCATAAATTCCTTCAGCTTCTCCACCAACACTCTCTCGAAAGGCTCTTGCTCGTTCCTCACATCGTTGTACCCGTACCTCGCAACGCACCGAAACACGTTGAGTTCTTTAGGTTCCACCCTGCAGAACAGAAACCTGTCGTCCATGGCGACTTTGCTTATGGGTAGGGACTTGATGGTCACAAAGACAAGAACAGAGTGTAAAGCGGGCACATTTGCTACGTAATGCTGGAAAATAGGAGGGATTCCTTGAACAAGCTCAGAATAGAACATGGCAAGACCAGGTATCCGACAGATGTCAGAGTTGGTTGCTATCTCCTTTAGTTTCTGCATAGACATCTTATGATTTAGCTCGTAGTGGTACTTCCTTCTGTAAACTTCGTTCCAAACGTACATGACGGTCATTAGAATTGCAGCAAAAGCCAGAGGGAGATACCCTCCCTGGTCAAATTTGTATAGCACCGAGCTCAGATAGAGAAGCTCCACAGAGCCAATGATAAGGACATAGCTGATAACCAGAAGAATGTGGGTCTTCCATATCATAATCATGATCAATACAAGAAAAGCCGACGTGAGAACCATTACAAACACCACTGCTATCCCTGCATGTGCATATACAATTTTCGGTGAGAAATTGATTTTAAATGGATGTTGAATAACAGAGGGCATTCAAGTGAATGGAAGGATTATTACCATAGGCATTGCCAATTTTTGTGGTGGTTTTGAAGGCTGCAGTGACTGCTACACAAGCTAACATGAGGATGAAGTTAATCTCAGGGATGTAAACTTGTCCTTCATACTTGGCCGATGTGTGAACAATCTTCACACGAGGGAAACACCCAAGTGAGAGGGATTGTTGGATTATAGAGAAAGTCCCGGAGATCATGGCCTGAGAAGCTATGATTGATGCTAAAACAGCTATCACAAACATTGGCCAATACAAAGGGTCTGCAAAACATTTTTCCATCGTTCATCAGTTTATCACAGAATGATATGTAGTTGCCAGTTCGCCATGTACAAGGTGATAGTTTTAGACAACGAAACAAACCTGGAATGGACTTATAGAAGGTCTCTGAAACAAGATCGCTGTTTTTGCGGAGAAAGGAGGCTTGGCCTGTGTAAGCTAGTATAAGACCAGGGTAGGTCAAAGAACACATACTGATCTGTATGGAACGAACTGTGAAATGTCCAACATCAGCAAACATTGCTTCAGTTCCTGCAAAATTTCAATGTCAGATAAACAATTCACGAGAAATATCGGGGAGAGTTTTAATGTGATACACGGCGTGAGAACAAATTAATAAGAACCTGTTATGGATAGCACAACTCCACCAAGTGAAATCCAAGCTTCTTTTTTGTTTCTGGTGAAGTAATCTATTATGTACTTCGGATTTATTGCTTTAAGGACAGTGGGGTCATACTTGATGAAGTTGAAAACACCAATGCCTCCAATGAGAGTGAACCACAAACAGATAATGGGAGCAAAACTATATCCAACTTTGTCAGTTCCAAACCTCTGAACCATGAAAAGTCCCACAAGAATTACTATTGATATCCAAACAACCCTATCTGCATAAAAGGTCACCAAAACAGAGGCATCTTCCTTTTAACTTCTGATAAAGACCACTAATAAATCAACCATAAAAGACCAAGCAACTGCAAACCTACCGTCTGTCATTGCAGGTGTAGCTTGCTTGATCCCTCCCACAGCAGATAAAACTGGAATCAAGTACAATGATATATAAGGAAAAATAATATATAAAGTAATGATGAGAAAGAAGGGATACGATTAGCTTAATGACGAACCAGAGATGCAGGGAGTGAGGACGCCGTCGCCGATGACCATGGAAGTGCCAAGCATGGTGGCGAACAAGAGGAAGAGTTTGGCTGAGTGGCTGTTCTCTAGCTTGGATTTGAGGCAAGAGGCCCTCTTCATCTCACTGCTTGGCAACTCTAACTGATAATTAGACACTTGCGCGTCCTCTGCTTGCTGGTTTGGGAGCAGTCCCACTTTAGCATAACGACATATCAGAGAGTACAAAGCGAATGTCCCTCCTGAAAAAGCAGTGAATAAATGCCCCCAGAAAAATTAAAGGTTGTGTCCAGTCAAGTAATTACTCAAGGGACTTTGGAAATTTGTGATGAAGTAATGACTTTTGAAAAAGTTAAAATCGTTGCGGATATTTGTTTTAATTAAAAGTATTCTAACCGCAAGCGCGTAACTTTTATTTATTCTAAGTATGGTCTGACACGATTCCTTGACTAAAACTGTGGAATATGAATGGTATTTACTATATAGCGTGGGGTCTGGACTATAATAGATGAATACTACCCCAGTTCTTGCCTCAAGCCTCACTCACCCACAATATATGTTGGAACTTGGACGAGTAAAACAAGACTTTACAGGTCACGCGCTTCTTATTAAAAGGCAAATAATTTACCCAAAAAAAAAAGCAAATTAATTAGTACTAAACATGCGAAGGAGGAGCAGGGAGGGAAACTGCATCCTTCATCCATCAAAATTTCCGTATCTTCCCAGTTAAATTTCTACAACATTTTAGATTTAATTTGTTTTGTTATTATATTTTTAATATTCTTTTTTTTTGTTGCCAACTTTTAATATCCGTTTATTGCACATATAACATGGTGCTATTTAATAGGTAGGAAAATAAGCACATGGTGATGGTTGAAAATAATCAGCACATGGTGCTCATTAATAGGCAGGAAGATAAGAGGAAATGAACCCATCAAGAAGTTGGATAACATATGAAAGGCGGAATAAGAAATTACCCAAAAAAAGCAGAAATTAACACCGTTAAATTAGGATATACATATATCCAATTGTAAGTCAGGTATTAAATTTGATATAGTACTCTTATTTTTATAAATCATATCCTTATTTTCATTTTTACAAAAACAAGATGAAGATCAACATTAACCATAATGAAGGCGGCAAACTTGCCTGGGGAACATTATGCAGAGATATTTTAATACATGAAAGTAGATGAGAAGAACAGAAGTGAAGGAGATGATGAAGTCGATATATATACATACCATCGCCGTTGTCGTTGGCGCGAAGGACGACGAAGACGTACTTGAAGAGAGGGATGAGAGTGATAGTGTAAAAGATGAGAGAGAGAACCCCCAGAATGTCGTCGTGGTGGCGGACGCCGTCGGTGAAGGTGCTGGAGAAGACGTACAGGGGCGACGTTCCGATGTCTCCGTACACAATCCCCATGCTCTGAAACGCCAGCTGCAACACCACCCTCAACGCCGGCCCCTGTGTATCATATTATTGTACAAACCTTAGGAAACAATCGTAAACTACGTAGAAATAACGAAAGAAGACGGCATAGAGACATCAAATTAAGTACGTACCTTAGAGGAATGGCGAGTGGAAAAGCTATGGGATTCGAGGTCGAAAGGATCATGCTGCTCGCCGCCTGTGCTAATAACACTATCCTTGTTTTGCATAACGGTTCCTGTTTCGTGCTTATTATTACCAGAGTCATCCTTATTATTGTGGGGCATTTCCATCGACATATCGATGAAATGATCAGTATAGCAATAAGTTAGCAACTGGCTGAGGATGTGGGAAAGGAGTTGTTAGCAAGTTTTAAGGAGGCCTGGCTGGGCTTACATATATAGGAGAGACCTCAACGCAGCCAAGAGGAAGGGACGAGGAAGCATCCCACCCGCTTGCTTCAAATAATTTTTACCGTGTTCTCATGCCGGTCCTCTTCTCCTTTATCATGCCACCACTTGTTTTACTTTTACCTCCTACCTAGCTATTTCCTCTTTGACTTTTCAACCTCATCATTGGCTTATAACCGCCACTTTCCTCATTATTACAAGCGTACCATTTATTTATTCAAAATTTAAATAATTATTCCAAAAATCATATATGCTTTTTGTATAATTATTACCATAAGTATCTATGTTATTATTTTTAATATATTTTTTTATAAAAAATAGGTATACAAAAATATGCAAAGTATGAAAATTAACTATTGATTTTTTATAAAAAGAAAATTAATTATTGATAACGGAGCTGTAACTCTGTGAGCTCACGGCCAAAAAGTTCGAGAGAGCAATTTTCGTTTTGGGGGCTTCTTCCAGCGCACGTCATGAGGAATCAAGAGTCAACACGTGCCTCTTTTTTCTTTTCTGTTAAATAAGACAAAATGCCCAATGTAGCCGCCATCTATACTAATCTTCCACATGCTACATTCATCTAATAAAGAATATGGACACTACTTTTTTTTTTTTTTTTGCATATTACATATGGTGATTGCATGATATGTTTCTATTTTATTATAAATTTTTTTCGGGGATTTTATTATGAATTTTAAGCGTATTTACAACACTTATGAATATTTTGTGCTCGAAGTTATTTTATTCAATAAATAGTAAACAGGGGTCACGCTATTAGAATTTACTTTTTTTTTTAATTTTCTTAATCACACTAAGGTATTTTTGTTTTTTGTGTGTAAATGATATTTTACTTAGCTTGTTAATTGTAGATTTTACATTACATACAGATATTATGGAATTTTTGGAACTTTGTTATTCATGAATTTCATATTTCATATACGAATACTGACCTTAGTCATCAAATAGGGCAATGTATGCAGGATAGTTATTTTGCGTTTACGCGGGAAATAAAAAAAAGTCAATAGGTACACGGGCCAGCTCCAATATCTTCTCGTCACGTTTTTGAAGTTTGATAAACAAGAGTCTACTAGCCAAAAGCAAAGCAAACGCGTTATACTTTTTTTATAAAAAAAAATTACAACGGGATCCCAAATAAAAAAAATAATAGAAAAACAAGTTTCAAAAATCATTATTCTCATTATAAGACGTGTTATTATATGCCGTTGAAATTGTTATTAGAACCTTTTGATAATAATTTTTTTTTTTGTGGGATTTGATTGTAATTCTTTCTTTAAAAAATTGCTGACCTAATAAGTAATAAGAGTATTTTCAAAAAAATGTTTTCAGGATCTTGGGAATATTCCTTTATGCGGGGCCCAGTTTATCATGCTTTCCAAACACGAGCAGATCCAAGTTACTTGGAATTAGTCACGTTTTCACTAATCATAATCAGAAGGTTATATAATCTCACCCTCACATTCGGGTCAAAATTGAGTTTAAGGATGCAATATTTTCATCTCGACCTGTCAAAATCAATACTGCCGCATAAAAGAATCGAATGTACTCCTCTGATGCTTAATATAAAACTCATTTAATTAATTTGATTAGATTTAAAAAGTTAGGTAGGTTAGTTAATTATAGGAAATGTGACACGTTTTTCTTAAAGTACCATAATCATCTTTCTTAATACTCTCTCCTACTCTTCTACTTGATTATAGTTGAGGAAATATCCATAAAGATAATTTAGAAAAAATTAATAAATATGAGAAATTGGTCTTATATTTATTACCAAAACCAACTCAATAATTGGGTTCTATATTAAGGACTAGACGAGCATAATATTATTGACAACGCCAATTATTGCACAAAAATAAACAGTGAAAGAAATTAAAACGAAAGATGTAACATTGGAGTCACTAATATATTAAAATAAAGTTAAATAGTATTATAATTTAAGTAAAACAACTGATGCCTGAAATAAGCAGACAATGGGGGGTTAATGAATGCGAGCAGTATGGAAACATTTTTCAAAACTCGTGAGCAAGTGGTCCACCGATTAATCAAAGAAACTGACAATTTTGATTTTTGCATTAAAAATTGGCGAGACATGGCTCTGCACAAAAGTCTATATGGTTATAGAAATCCTAACGCATAAAACCTTTTTTTAACCGACAGTGGAACGCGCAGTCTTACAATTTGATAAATTGGGATTTGAATTCTTATCAGGATAGAAAGAAGAAATTTTTTTATCTTATTTATAAGTCATTTCATTAAATGTTTAACGTGAATATACTATTTCGTCATTTATTTATTATAGTGTAGATAATTATCTTTTTTTTAAAGATATATATATTAAATAGGATAAAATTGAAAAGTTATTATGTTTTAATAAAGAATTAATACATTTTAAGGTTTTTTTTATTTGTGTGAAATATGCTGAAATTATCTTATAAATAGGATCAAATAAATAATTTTTAGTGAGAAAAATATTCCGTGGATGGGAAGTCAATGCAAGAGTGGCGGAGGACGCTCACGGCAGGCGCATGAGTATAAATTTAAATATCATAGTTAATACCAGAACTTGATGAGCAAATATTTTATAAACATCTATGATTGCTATGTGAAGCGTGAGGCCTAGCAATGACGGCTTGGTTGGGATGGAACTCATGTAAGCATGCTGCCAAAGTTTATGAAGGAGAGAATAGGTGAGAGTTTTATTAATTATTAATAAATGTTTGGTATGAAAAGCGCACCAGATTATGGGAGGGTGCATGTGCATGGGAATTTAGGAGCCCTGGCCTTTGCCCCTTTTTGCGTCGGCTGACCTCATGCTCATATTCTCCACCGGGCGCCCACCAGCCATTAGTCAAAATGCCCGTCTCTGTAAAATAATTCTTTTAATAATTATAATTTTAACCAACACATTTAATTAGTAAGAATATTTTAAAAGAAATAATATATATTTATTATAAATAACTTAATTTATTTTCTTAACCTTCTCAAATTAGTCAATTAGCTTTTATAATTGAAATCGGAGGTAGTACCATACTATGATTATGAATCATCCTATGTTTCCATTATCACTTCGATGGCTACCCTGCCATTGCACCTTGTTATCTACATTGCACCTTTCTAGACTCCTTTATAAAAGAGGATTAAGGGAAAACAGTACGGGCAAGACACATTTTCCTCCACGTGGACTTGACACAAACAAGTTGTAATAATTATGAGTCGTAGATATTGCAGATTATTTTCCAGACTTTAAGACAATTGATATGGAGAACAAATAATTTGACTGGAAAAATTGTAGAAGTATTGAGAAATATCCGAAAGAGAAGGGAGAGGAGGAAAGTTCAAAAAGCAGACTGGCAAGTTTGAAAGAGAGGCGCCGTGTCGTAATCAGTAATCAGTGAGGAGGATGTCAGTATGGACTGTGGAGACGGCCTCTTTTGTTGAACAGCTGAGTCATTACCACACGTGCCAGTCAAGTACACTACGGCTAATTTTAATAAAAATAAAAAAATTTATATATTTAATGATCTTCTTAATATGTCAGAAACTACTATAAGTGATAAGAGTAGTAGAATTATTTGTAGCATACTCTCGCATATAAAAAGAATTATAATAAAGTGATAAAAAATTTTAACGTTGTTTTTATTAAAATTTTTGCATTTACCAATTATTCTTATTTTATTATTTATTTTCAACAAAAGTCAAATAAAATTAAAATTAAAAATAATTATTAAATAGTATATTATTATAATCAATTTTTTTCTTACAAATGATTTACATCTGCCACAGGGTCGATCGATATATCGTTTCTTTATTGGCAGTAACTCTAGTAACTTACTATTAATTACTACTACTCCCTTCTTTGTAATTATAACACCCAATTTGACCCGAAAACTCTGGCCTAGTGGTGACTGACTGCTAGGCCACAAGTGAGGCGAGTCTCTGCTCTTTGAGGGTGGGGGTTCGAATCCTCACTTGTTAAAAAAGGTACCGGGGAGGGCTTTACTTTCGCCCGGCCCGAATCCGGACTAGTCGATCGCTCGGGTACAACTGGCCCAAAGAGGCTGGGGCCCAGAAAGGTGTGGTTGAATACCGGATGGTTTATATCAAAAAATAACAACCCAATTTGGAATTTCAATTTTAAAAATTAGGAAAAAAATCATCCACCTCAGATTTTATTACATACATAAAAGTATGGATACTTTATGAATTGTGTACACAATGAATATGGATCCTCTCGTTTGAAGTCTTCTTATTATAAAATTTGTAATGAGGGGATTTTCCTTTTTTTTTTATCCTAAATACTCTGTATAGCAAAGATATACTATTTAATTTTTTTCTTAATTTTACTCTTCCTTAATTACAATAACTCCACGGCATGTTTTATTGTGATAATCAATTTTGAAATAAATAATAGAAGCAAAAAAAAAAACATATTTTAAGTTATTAAATTAGTTAATTTTTATTATGTAATTAGGATTTAAGGGAGCATTTCACCTGATTAAGAAAAATAGTTACTAGTAGTTTATCATCTTAAAATTTTTTACAATTATCACTGCTTTTAAATATTATCTTTAAAAGACAGTGAAAAGTAAAAATAACATTCTAGGAATTTTACAATTTCATTAATATTTAAAGACCATGAATTAGCAAATATTAAAGACCATGAAAGCTTAATTGATTCTTCAAAAGCTTTATTTTTTTATATACAAGAATTAAATGAATTTACAAATTCATAACAGCTAGTTTTGTAATTTGTAGAAAAACCAAAGTAGAATCTTCCCTCTTAATGGTATTTAAAAGACAATGGATGAAGAATATGCGAGT